GTGGGTAGTCAAAGTAATCCCTCATCTTCGTGAATCGGTGTAATACTAGACGTAGACCTCAACCTTCATCTGACACTGCTTTTTTACAAAAAGTATCACCTCACTAATGCCGATGCATCTGTTGACTGGTGTTATGTCAACACAAATGCGGTCTGAGATTCCAGACTCGAACTGCCTAAACCATTCGTAATCATGAGGCAGTGGGCCTGACTTATGTTGCAACGATGCAACTTTCGCGGCCATGACACGCATTGAAGTTCTTAACCTGCTTAACGAGCATTGCACGTCACCGCTTCCATGTGAACATAAGTGGTTTGAATTATTATTCTGTAGAGATTTTATCTCCTTGATGGTTGATATAAAAAACGCGTGTACATCAGACGGTTTACCAGTACCGCACTATATACCAATACAGAAAACGTGACGATGAAAGGGTCGCACTATTCTTCCTGGAATAGGTCACATTTTCGATAGACTGGGAGACCGTAAATTGCAAGGCGAACGGATACCTCTGGTACGTACACACTTCACTTACTTAACAGGCCACGAAGTTGCCTTCCCAAAACAACATGTATGGATTCACTACTACCCATAGGAACTGTCTGCAAATCGTAGGACGACCCCGGCAGGATTCCTGGAGTTGCCGGAATTTCAAGGCTCAATGGGCTAAGTGTATCCATAACCTCTAGCTAGTAACCGTGTGCTATATTGCATGGCAAAGCCCATTCACGCAGCTTGTGAACATATACGTTTTCTGAAGTTTCAACGGCAACTGCGCGGGTATTCAATTTTTCTAAGCACCCGTCGAAGATATCGCATGTCGGCAACTTTGTATTCCGAGTCCTCGCAGTGCGTCTCAACACGCCGATAGAGCGTCTTTACGCAACTGCGTTTGTGACTGGACGGATGGTTGATATTGAAGCTCAGTACTCGCATCGTATTAGTTACTCTCCTGAATTCAGTGTTAAAACATGTCTTTAGGCCCAGTGATCACATTTGTTTCTTCCTAATTACTTCCTGGGACCCACATTGTCGCCTTCATTGATGAGTAATTTCCATTTTTCTACAGCCTACCTCAATGCCTCACTTCCTTTTACTTTAATAATAGAGAGATGCAACCTAGACAACAGAGTCTACTAGGAGATTCCGGTATATTGGCTGGCCTCCAAGCAAACATTGCAGCAGCCCAGAATGCAGTCTGTGAGATTGCTGTCGGTCTACGCCTACCAGCTCTCACTTCCTGGAAATTTCCACACCGACTCGCCTTATCCCTGCCCATCGGCCAGCTGCTGACTGGCCTTCGCTACGATCCGGCAAGTAAAGAGAGAAGTCAGCTCAACCATATCGTTCTACTGGAGCTTCTGATTGATCGGTAGGAAGTAGCGTAGTAATATCTAGACTACCTGATCAGTTACCTCCTTCTTTTAGGTCTCATTACTATCTACCTCGAAGCAAAGAGCTCTATACAGACTGTGTCAGCGGGAACTACATTCCAGACAACCTCCCCGATAGAAATTTGTTCCTGTTTGGTCAAAATCCTGCGGTCTTTCTCCAGTGCAAATAAAAACACAGATGAGACGGACTATGAGATCAATAAGGTCCGGTAGATTTGTTTTTTAGACATTTCTTTTGTGTTAGCATCTGCTAAATGACTTGCACACTGACAAAGACGAGAAATCCAAGCCGCCTGAACTGAGTTTCGAAACATGGAGGCAACCTGCAGACATAGACACGCTAGACGCAGAAACGCAAACTGTGTCGGAGACCACGGAGCGACCCACGGAGGCTAGGGATTTTATCGATTTTTTTCCGGTACTGTCACACAGATTAGTCTTAACTGCCCCTCTGTCTAA